CCCCAAAACCCCAAAACCCCAAAACCCCAAAACCCCAAAACCCCTATCTCAGTTATTTTAATTGAATGATTTTGTAACCAATTAATTCTCTCTGTAATTATCTTCACCGTACATTCCTGCAACACTTTCTTTTAAGTAAATTCTTCTGATAGTTTCTGCCATGAAAGTTCCGATTGAAACGTGTTCAAACTTCTCTATATCAAGTATTTAATCATAAAAATTACCACTTGGGACAGTATCAATGAAATGCTGAGAAAGAGGGATGGTATTAGTGACAATCACTTTTTCAAGGTCAGAATCCCTAATTCTTTCAGGAGCTTCTCCTGTAAAGATCCCATGGGTTGCGAAAGCATACACTTTCTTAGCTCCAAATTCTTTCAATTCTTGAGCGGCTTTTCATAATGTTCCAGCACTATCTATCATATCATCTACAATGATTCAGTCTTTTCCTTCAACATCTCCGATCAAGTCCATTCTTGCTACGACGCCTGGCTTTGGTCTCTGCTTGATGATCATTGCAAGTGTGACTTCTGGGAATCCTCTTCTGAGGAGAGCCCCTTGGAATCTCTTAGCTCTGCCTACACCTCCAGCATCTGGACTGACGACAACCAGGTTATCAATATTTTCGATACCAAAATCGTCGAGAACGTATTCCATCCCAATAATTCCTGCTTCAAGGTTGATGACTGGAGTTTTGTTCTCAAAGAATCCCTCGATTTGCCAGCAATGGAGGTCGACTGAGATTACTGAATCAACTCCCATTGTTTCGAGGAGTCTAGCAACATCAGCACCAGCAATAGAGACTCTATCCTCAGTTTTTCTATCTTGCCTAGCGTATCCATAGTAAGGAATAACTGCGGTGATGGATTTTGCTGAAGCTCTTTTTAAAGTGGAAATCATCAGGAAAAGTTCCATTAAGTTGTCATTTGCAGGTGGACAAGTCGATTGGATGATATAGCAGTCTTTCCCTCTCACTGTCTCATTCACTCTGACATAGGTCTCTCCATCAGCGAATTTTCCAGTTTCTGAGCCAGAAATCTTTGTTCCGAGATGATCTGCTATCTCTTCAGCAAGTTCTTGACTAGCACTTCCTGAAAAGATTTTCAAGTCGAGATCGTTAAGAGGTCTGTTCCTTCTGGATCTATGGAAGGGATCCTCTCTTGCACTTAGTGGCTTTCTTCTTGGATCGAATGTCTTCTCTTCCCTAAAAGAGAATTAGTTACGTGTAGCAAAAATTTGAAAATCTTTCAAAGATATGGTTAGAAGGAAAGGAGAAATGGTAAGAATCAACAAACTCAAACCTGCCATACTTTTCATAAATATCACTGCATTCATATTGGGTGCTGAACATGTTAGACCAGTCGTTTCTTTTAACAAAAGCAACTGTTGTGAGTGAAGCGCATGCAAAAGTTGCTCCGAACATCATTCTTCTTGACGCTTTTGATGAATGTCTATAACAATATTTTAACCCCTTTCCTTCACAAAACCCTGTCAAAGTCCTTCAAGCCAGTATAGCATCATCCTCACACCCTCTACTAACTTCATCACTTTGTTTGGTTAATTAAAATTTGGTTGACCCCCACCTTGTAAACGTGCTTGTGAATCTTGACCACATTTAATCAATTTTAAAATAATTTTACAATGGCATATCATTACATTGGGGTTTTGGGGTTTTGGGGTTTTGGGGTTTTGGGG